TTTCGGAACGTAGGAACAAATTGTTACGTTGTTTTGAGATCCGTATATTGTGGAAAGTACTTCACGTGAGTTAGATGGTGTCATTTCTCGAGGAATATAAGGTTTATTTTTTTCAAGGTCCCTACTATCGTTAAATTCCATGACAGATGTTTGCCAATGGCAGAATCGTAAAAAAATTATCCATCGTGATATTTCGTCCGGATCCTTTGTATGGAACGACCAAGTCTTTCACTACTCTTTCGCCTTGATTTATTTCTCGACGTGTGGATAATTTTCCCGTATAAATCTGTCCAGTGAGTGGATAATAATTTTCAGCATCGCATATTCACCAAATTTTTATTCCATATTTGGCAGGTTTTGATGGAATATATTGCGTGAATTTAGTCCGACCGCGATATGGAGATAATTATTCGTCTATTGTTAAATTTTCAGTTGGCCTGTAGTATTTTTGCAAGTTTGAATTGAGCATTGCCCATATGTCACGTATGGGTGCTGCTTTATCGATTTGCTGACGTTCTTGTCGTGTCATCAAAACGAATAAATTGCAAGATGTTCCAAAATCGATTTATACCCATGCTTGCACGATATAACGTCGGATATGACGTCGTCTTCCACATATGCATTGTATTTTGTACATTTGAATGATTTACACCAGATGTTATAAGAAGTCCCAAATGCATCAAACTCGCGTTCAGTAATATCAATCCATTTACGTTGTTTTTCCAAAGGACGATTGGTATTATACGCCTCATAAACTTTTCTTGCCTTCTTATTCGTGTGTCTTAGAACAATGTCACATCATTGAGCATTCTCAATTCAGGCTCCATTAATGATCGATTATACTTTTTATCTCTTTTCAGGATGAAGAAACGGAAAGCAGTAAAAAAGAGGATAAAAAAAAGACTATATTTGTAAGTCCGTTTATGAGATACAAATGTGTTATACCAATGATAATGGATCAGGAAGCAAAAGAACAACAAGAAAAACAACAAAAGAAAGAAGAAAAAGAAGAAAATTCGACTATGAAAATCGAGGATGAATACGTAAACGAGGCTGAGATTAACGAGAGTAAAAATAGAGTTCATCAACACTTTAAACAAATGTCAAACAAATCTCAAACAAATAAACCAGCGGAGATACCGAAAAAGATACCTAAAAAGAAAAAGAAACATACCCAATCAATTTTAAGTGAAATGGTAGAAAAACGTGGTAGAAAAAGGAAGAGAGAATATGAGAGTGGGAAAAAGAACGACAATAACTTTTCTACGCCTATGTCGGCATCGTATTTGAATGCTGGAACTGTGCATGTGTCTAAGAAAGCAAAACAGGAAACACAAGACACAATCGAAGAACGAAAGATGCAAGGGAGTCAGAGTGATAACAATTCTAAAATCATTAAATCGATAAGAGCTAGGAAAAAAGGCGATAGAAAAGCAAATGAGAAATTGTTGAAGGAACAGGGTATGTTACCATCCGAAAGATTCGATTACAGATCAGTAGATTTTAGCAGCTTCCAAGGTGGTAGTAAACAAAGTAGCGCAAATCAGACACAGTTTCAACAACCTCAAGTAAGTAAATATTATTTTATTTTTTCATGAGTAATTAATATCTAAAATATTTTTTTTATTTGGAAATTTTATAAATACAGAAAAAGAAGAAGGAGAAATACCAGAAGTGGAAGAAGCCAAAACTTAATATATGATTGTAACGCGCGATGTTCTTTTTTCTCACATTTTTCATCAAATTATCTTCAGAAAGAAAAAAAATTCTGACAACTAAAAATATAGGGATAGACTGTATGTAGAAATATACATATACTGTGTATATAAAACAACATCGAAATTGTGTATTTTTGGATTTAGGTTAGTATTTAATATCCATTTTGATTTCATACCAATGAGTTTTTGATAATATTTTCCCACATTTTCTAAAACATGAAAGATGTATTTGAACATAATCTTACAATTAACTGTAAAGTTCAAGCATTATAAAATTATTCATTTATTCTTTGTCTTTTCCTTAAAAAGTTCCGATATATCATGCATGATATATCGTTTTATCCTTGTTGTTCAATGAATGTTAAGCAAAGATAAAATGATACATCAAAGAATGCATCCTTATAAATAATATACAGATTGTAGCATAAAGAAATAAATAAATAAATATATATATATATAAGTGTGTATATATATTTATAAATATTATGCTTTTCTGTGAAAATTATTAAAATGTTTATAAAGTCCGTAGAATAATTAATGCATTCGTATATTCAAATCTATATTAGAAGTATTTTATCGAATTATTAATTTTAATTAATATTGGTCATTAATATTGTTAGTGTTATTTAATATTAATTTTAATTTAAAGCACACAAAGTAAACATCCTGTAAAAAACACGACATGATTGAAATTGAAAAGATTTTAATTGCTATTCAATTTCTATTTACATTAAAATAAAGAGTAATATTGACTCTTTTTCTCGATCAAAGTATTACTAATTCTAAGATTGTATTGGTTTCGATAACTCGTTGCTATCGGAAATGAATTCCTCGGTTCTTAATGTTTGCTGTGACCATAAAAGAGAATAAAAAAGTTGTTTGTCTAGAAATTTTCTGATTAAGCACAAATCGGGTTATCTTATAGTCAAATGTGATATGATGGAGTATTTATCAGCGTATATGTTAAAAGGCAACGCACATGCCAAAAGCCAAGTGCTAGTCGATGACGATGGTATCTATCATTCTTACGTTCGCCGTTTTGTACCACTTCTCCATCGGGGGGGAGTGTTTTCACCTGTGGCATCCACATGCGATGAATGTAACGACTCTTGGACGTGTACCAAATGAAACGACGCTCGCTAGAAAGATTGTGCCTTTATTTAATGAGACTACCCTGACGAATTTCACATATACATTGTCCGCTCGTGTAGACAACTCGACTGAATTGTCTAGCAATTCATCGCAAGATGTACGACAGCCCCAACAAGTAGACTGCTTCGGATTGGGACAGACAGTCGCGGCAACTCTGGAATGGTTCTTTAGGAGCCAGCCCAACGGGAGTAATGCTTTGGACATACGATTTCTTTTGTCATCTAGGAAACAACCGCGACGCGTGCAAGTAGTGCTTGGCGAACAGTTTGGCTTAGAATGGACAGATTTTAAGATAGAACGTAGAACGGTGATCATAGTGCATGGTTTCCTGTCTCATGGTCAGGAAACATGGATCAGGGACATGGAAAAGGCGTTGCTCGAATGGGTGAGTTTGTCGATTACGCTCGCTGATTTTCTCTCAAATCGCAGAGAGTCGCTCTCATTTTTTATGAAATCGTGTACAGGATGATGTTAATGTGGTGATAATAGATTGGAGCGCCGGCGGTAATACGTGGAATTATTACAAAGCAGCAGTCAACACCAGAATAGTCGGATATCAAATATCAAAGTGCGTATGTTAAAAGTGCATGCGATAGTTAGTAGTTACCTATATATAATTAACTTAATTGTCAGATAACGCAACAAGCTTGAAAGAAGATCTGAAAAACGATGCTTTCGAATGATTGTATATTATCCGTATAGATTAGTATAGATTAGTAGTCTACTAACGTCAATTCTCTCGTTTGCCAAGATTTATAGAACACGTAACAAATGCTACGATCAACAACGTAGTGCGTGATGAGCCGAACGTAAATAATTGGGGGCCTCTACATCTGGTAGGACATAGTCTCGGCGCTCACATTTGCGGATTTGCCGCAAAAGAATTGAAAAAGAGGCAGAACAGATGGACTGTGCAAAGGATCACTGGTCTGGACCCAGCACAGCCATGTTTCCGCAGGACTGACACGTCTGTTCATTTACATAAAAGTGACGCGCCATTCGTTGATGTGATACATACAAATGGCAGATTATTCACGAGTCTGGGTCTTGGTTTACCCGAAGCCATAGGTAGCTCGAATCAATGAAACTTAATCGGATCGCAATACGATTCGATTTATCGCGCACTTCTTTTCCTCTTAATGCGTCTTTTTGACATTCTTCAGCGGAACGATATACATATAATATAATTTTGTCCTTGTAAATCCCCTAAAGAAGCTCGTTTATTTAATTTTTTAATTGTTATCCTAATTAATGCACATAGGTCACGTTGATTTCTACCCAAATGGCGGTAAAACGCAACCTGGCTGTATAAGAATGGAATCGTCGTATTTCAGTTACTTACCGATTCCTACGGATGGTTAGTTCTAATAAAATGATTATTAACTTGATCTAAGAACAATCTAAGGAACCAAGAAAAAAGAAGAATTGTTACACTTGTAGCAATACAACGAGCGATGTGTAGCCACGGACGTTCTTACGTCTATCTCACAGAATCTTTGACGTCGGCTACCGCGCGCAATTGCAGTTTTTGGGCACACCAATGGAATTTGACATACAGGCATCTTTTACAAATAATCGCGGAACCATGTGACAGAAACATCTGCACGGAGATGGGCATTAGAGCAGAAATGTACAATCAGCGTGGAAGCTTTTTCGTGGCTACAGCTAATACCAGTCCATTTTGCGGTGTGTTGCAGTTTTCGCGTTATGAATAATGACGTAATTATTTCGCAATTTTGATAGTCGTTTTGTTGCAGCCAATAGCACGGATGTTATAGAGGAAGTAAAAAGGCAATTACAACAGGATTTCTTGGGTGACACGGAGGATTGATAAATTGCAGTAGATAACTTATTTATAAATGAATGTGTTATATCAACATTACGGTAGTAAATACTTGAATAATTTTTTATGTATTTGATTATTTACAGTTGATTATTTGCATGATACAAATATATAATTATATGTGTGTATGTACATACATACACATATATATATATATATATATAATTTTTTGTTTGCACGCGCGTTTTATTCTTTCGCATAAATTGTTTCGCAAAACAGTGGTTTCTAGAAGACTCTCACTACTTTTACATTATTTTCACAAATCCTTAATAAATTACAAAGAAAAAATTATCATACCTGTGGTGGTATTCTTGGCTTTAAAAATGAGATGTACATATACAATATACATATATATACAAATATACATACATATACAGTATACTTGAAAAATATCCTCAAGCTGGAAATGTATAGTAACAGCTGAAAAGAATAAATAAGTAATCGTAATTTTCATTAGGATAGATCATTAGGACAGCTAATAAACTTTCGAATATATCGCATATCTTGATAACAATAAATAATATGTACGACGAATTAAAATGCATTAACAAAATTAATAAAAATATTCAGAATTGTATATATATAGACATATAAACGTATAGCACAAATATTGTAATGATTAAAATATTTTCGCCAGACTTTATTGGTACTAAACGTATCGGATGTAGTGGTGGTAACTACTATTTGGTATTAATTCTCAAGTCATTTTTATACGAGCTTAAGCGAGCGCTTATGGTCGAAATATCCACGATTGTGCGTATAAAATAATGGTGTTGCGTGTAACGTTATTGGCACATTATAATACTCTTATCTGATTTAACGAAGCTAGATGGAAACTCCTATAAAAGGATATTATAATCAGATGTGGTCGACATGTCTCTGGTCGAATTAATTAAATTCTTTCAAATGTTAACCCCAAGTATCGATAATACAAAATCATTCGCGCGGTTTACTAATGAATGACTTGGACATAAGTGGCGGGGAATATACCGGTACGGCCTCGGCATTCGCCTATCCACCAGCCGTCTGGTTGCTTTTGATGGACAGTTATTAGGTCGCCCGGATTGAGACTGAGTTCGTCGTTCAGATTTGCCGAGTACTGGTAGATCGCTCGGCATTGCTCCGCACGTTCAATCTTAGTCGATGATACTTCTGTACCATCAATCTGGTTGTTGTTGTCTTCCGAATGACTGCTGAACTCGTCAAAGTCGCTGAAGTCATCCTCATCCGGCGGATTTTCCGAATTGCCGTCACCAGCTGTACGATCAGCCCAATCACGGGTCTCTGCGTCTTGATCCTTAGTCAAAGCATGCAACTCGAGCTCGTCATCACTGTCTTGAACTTCAAAAGATTCATTCTTTGCCGAAGAAGGAATCTGCAAGGGAAGAGATTGCAATATATTGTCTTGTTTATTTTATCTATAAAGATAGAGCGTATGATTTTACATATTAAAGCTTAGAATTACTATTTTTGCCGTGACGTCCGTTCGCAATTAATTCAGTTCACCTCGCGATTTAAAAATAATTTTCTCTAGTGTGCTATACCTTGAGAACACTTTGCTGTAAACCCTGCTTGTCTCTCGAGATTAGGATATGCTCCGATAAAGGATGTTTGATCCGTTTGCTACCCTCCACTTCGGCAAGCGTACCGCCGACTTTGTATCTAGCTGCCTCCAAATATAACAACATCGAACGCATCTACGGAAACATACAACAATTCACATCGCGCTCGTATATACTTATGATTGGCGCAAAATAATCTCTAACTACATATTAGCGATAAATGCGTGCTTGGCGTACATGATGCAGTTTGTCCGTCACGTTTTGCGTGCTCTCATCCGCCGCAAACGCTGGAGTCTTGACAAAGGCTCGGTGTAACGTTTCCAGCCCTTCTCTACCCCGTCTTTCCCTCTCGAGATCTTGCCTTATAAGATGTAGCACCCTCACCAACGCCTGCTTTCGCCGTTCGCGATTCATTGCCAGCGTGACGTGTTCGGCGTAGAAATCTGGTAACAACTGCTCCGCGTTCGTCACATCGTGATTATCCATTCGGCGTACGAGATTTTTTAGGATCTCCAGATCCTGCGACACATTGCAGCTGCGTACGGGCGTTAGTAAGCGATCGGCGCTCTGAAAAAGTATAGATATTTGTAAAAAACTTGTGCTACATTTACAAGCAGCCTGAATGAAGGGCAAGGTGGTGTAGTTGTAGCTGATCATGATGTATAGTCACATTGCAAGTGAAGCGAGCGAACTTTCGTTTGTTCGTACTACCTGCTGTAGTCGTGGCGCGAGCGCCTGCAAGTGCGTCAAGTACACGTTGGCGAGATCTTTCAGAGCGCTCAGTCGCTCCTCCTCAAGTAGTTCCATTTGCTTCGCGCCCTTCCTCATCGTACTCTCATACTCCAGCCTGGCCCTCTCGGCTCTCACGCTGACCGTGTAGAATTCGGTGTCGGCTCGACGCGACGAGTCTTCGGCTTTCCTCCGTCTAGCCTCCAGTTTGCTCGCTTCCTTTTCCGTAACGTGATGACTCGACGACCTGTTGTTGCTGCTCTGCTGGCTTTGACTAATGGTTTGCAACCGTGCCAGATCCTGCAGTCTCTCGTTCTCGCGCGCACTCGCAAAACTCTGCTTTTTGCTCTTCGCCGCTATTCCACGCCATTCTTGAAGCGACTTAGATGCCTTGTCCACCGAGTTTTCAATGCTCTTTCTCGATCGGCCTTGCATCTCCGCTACGCCCACCTGCGCATTACATACGAAAAAAAATGCGTTATTCTTCCGTTTCTCTGTATCGAGTCCCGATCAATGTCTGTCTCTAACGTTCATCGCTATACGAGACTGAATCGTTACGTCTTTACGTTTTTGTGTGAGTAAGCGTAGTCCGCGTAAAAAGAAAGTTAATTAATGTCATTAAAACTAGTATCTTAAAATTGTCTTAAAATTAATATCATGCGTCATGTATAAATGTCATACCAATAATTATCATTTTAATATTTGCGCACTTTTCAACAGCGAAATATAATTCGTAAGAAATGAGAGAGAGAAAGAGAGAGAGAGAGAGAAATTGCCAAGAAAAATAAATTTTCCTCCCGCAATTTTTGATTTTAATTTGATCGTTTTACAACAATTGTGTCCAAGTGCGACATTGCGTAAGTACGCGGTTGTACATCCAGTCTTTTCCTTATAAATTTGGTACGATTATAAACGCACAATCACTTTCCTAGACCTATATTTACAATTAAATTCGAACTCACTCTAAGCGGTTTGGCGAGTTGTTCACTTAGCGCGATGCCCCATAGCCGATGTGCCTCCGCCGAAGCCTCCATCTCCTCACCGACACACCTCCATGCCTCATTCACACCTCCGTTGCTATTACCACCTGCATTACGAAAGAGGAAATATATCGCGATTCATACTGACAATTAGAGAAGATGGTATTGCTACGGCCATTTTGCAACTTGTAACTTGTGATTTTGCGTCAACGCACTTTCATCGATATTTACTTAAACGGAACCTTATAGACCTGACAGACTAATAAAATGGGAAACTGACAATGGGAAAAAGAGAGCAAAGCTTCTTTCTTTTAAATATAAATTTCATTTTTTTAGCAAAACTTGCGATTAATATTTTTCGTGTCGAGTCTATATATAAATATTATACTGTATATCAGGTGTGAATTTTCAATATTTACGATAAGAAAGAAGGAAAAAGTAACGATCATTATTAAATTATCAATAACTTTCACTAAAGAGAAATTCTACATCAAACTTATTCTCATGTATTACTAAGTAAAGATATAATTGCAATTATTGTACCTAGTATTATCCATCAAATGTATATAACGCGATGGACACAATGGAATAAAATTTATAATGAAAAGAATCGATAATCACCTTGATCCTTGGCGCAGGCCTTTGTCAGCTTGTTACTGAGTTTGCTGAGTCCTTTCGCATACGTAGCTTCTAGTTCGGCTCTGAAACGTATTTTCATATTTTCCTCATTGAAAAATCACGCTCACGCAAATGACGAACGATGAGAATGATAACATTTAAAAAATACCTTTCATGAAGAATCGATGCTAATTCTTTGCAAAAGTCGCCTCCTTGTTTGATATATCTTCGTACATCCTCGAAACCACCTTGTCCTCCCTGCACATGATAAGAAAGAAATTAAAAAATTGCACGACGATAAGACAAATACTTAAAAAAAAACCGAAAGAAAGAGAATTTTTTAACAACGCTTTATTTCGCTATTCTCTAGATTTTTTCTTATCGTAATCCTGATGATGATATATATATATATATATATATATATATATATATATATAAATCGGTATGTCTTCTTCTATCTTCATCGTTATCACAAAATAATAATTACACATACGCACACACACACACACACACACACAACAGAACATTTTTATCTTTTTTTAATCCAAGCTATACATATAGAATGTGAGAAAAAATATATAAATATACAGGGTCCGGCCGAATTATATGTACAAGTGGGGCACGGTGTGAAAAAAATCTCGTCTTTGACGAAAAAATAAGAAAAAAATATATAATAAAATTTTTTTATTGTTGGTTTAGCTTTTGAGAAAATCAAGTTTAAAAATCCGCTGCATACGCACGCTGTTAATATAGCTAACAATACGATTCATCGAGCAACGTATAATGTGTATCGTGCAGTGTTTTAAACAATGTCTACACGGCATTTAAAAACCACTAAGTTTAAAGAAAAAGACAAAGAAAATTTTTAATGAACAAAATTTTATTTTATGAATTACTGCAGTTGATGAAGCTGTTGTTCTCGTTGTCGGATGCACAACTGTGCTCATCCAATTACAGATGGATGAACTCTCGGCAACGTATTTCAGTTTTTCAATTCTTCGATTGCGTGATTATAATTGATGTAATTGATCTCTGTCGATATCCTTTACGTCGTGATATTTGAACGAAAACTGATTGTTCGGCTTAGTAAAGCTTACTCTTAGTAGAGTTGTTTATAAACATGATATGCGTTACACTCGATGAATCGTATCTCAGCTGTAAACAGCATGCGTACGCAACGGATTTTCAAACTCGATTTTCTCGAAAACTAAATCGAAAATAAGAAAAAATTGTATTTACATTTTTTTTTCTTATTTTCTTGATAAGAAATCACGCCGTGCCCGCTTGTACATATTATTCGGCCGGATCTTGTATATATATATATACATATTTATGTACGTGCTTATTTTTTTCTCCTTTATTTTCTCATTATTAAATCCTTTTGTATCTTAATGGACGCGCTGTTCTCTGCAACTTCGATAGGTAACACTGCCTGGGGAAAGGAAATTTCTTTTATTCAAGACTCGTTCCGGAAGCTGCAGGAATGATAAAATCGTAAAAGATTAGCTATATGGAAAGGCGTTTGTTCGTACGCGATAAACGTTCTCATAGTTATCGGATATTATTTCTTATCGTTTGCAGCGCCAAGGTGACTGACACTTGATTCGAATTAAAGCTTAATCATAGTCCAAGATAGGTGAAAGCAAGCGCGCGCGCATCGATTCTAGGCCTTGAGGAAAATCAAAAGAGCTACGTGCTAATTAGCTAGGACATGTACCTATGTACAAAGTTACGATAAATTTTGATACAATACGTATACATATAGCAAACGTATAACGTAAGACTATAAAGATCTATAAAGAACTATAAAGATAACGTAAAATTAAAAAGATCAGAACTGTCATCGCGAATTTATTGAGTAGGTATTTACATTGGTGCGTGCTTAAATAAGATTTCATTCGATGCCAATAATAGAAAACCTGCACCTTTCTACAAAGCTATTGGAGCATAGCGTGTTAAATACGACTGATAATTTTTAGTTAAGCAAATTGATTTCTATGTTAGCAGTTCTGAGATACCTGTAGATTGTTTAAAAATTTTCAAATTTTAAAACGCAATCGTTGGAGATACGATTTATAAATCAAGTAGCAAATGTAAATTACATAAATCATTAGCTTTAAAAAATATTTATAACGTAAGAATAAAAAACAAAATAATATCTAAATTAATTTTAATTAACGACAGTATGTCGTTAGCGAGCCACAATTTTACATAGCGCGTATCCAAATTTTTCATTCATCAAAATATTTCTGAAAACGAAATTATCAAGTTTCATCAATGCAAACTCGACATTTGACGATAATGTGCAATTATATATTACATAACATCTCTCTAGTGGTAATAGTATATAATAATAGTAGTAAAGATGTACGTATTAGTCGGTAAGGATATATAGATTATGTTTTCGTCACCGCGTGTCTGCATATATTTTCGCGATTATAGCGCATACAAGTTATTTAAGACATCAAAAAGTTAGTTAAACTGGCTTATAAAATCATAGAAAACCAATTAAGAATTGAGATATACTTCTAGAAAATCCGGCGCGGCACGTTCTTTCCAAATCTAATTGACAATTTTTCAGTTGTCGATGTACATCTTTTCGTCGCGTTCTTTTTCCACAGGTTTCACATATTGCACATTATTCTTGTCGTTGTAATGATATATATAATCGCATTGCGTATCGTCTAACATGCTTTTGCGCCATCGATGATTTCAAATGACCATTCTTCAGAATTAATATTACTGATAATGTTCTAGAGATTTCGATCTGACAACTTGTTTGATGAACAAAGTGAGAGAGAGAGACAGAGATCTCTCAACCAGATAATTTTTCTTGATGAATCATTGCGCAGTATATCTCGTTATCTGTGCGGAAAGACACAACGAGTTTCGAATACACTGCAGCTATACATAAAAAAAAAAATATATATATATATTTTTTTTTTTTAATGTATTGGAATTATTTGTAATTTTCACCACGATTGTTGACTGTACAATTTCGAGAAGTATACTTGTTGTTAATATTATAACAATAATAACAATAATATCTGTCTGTTAACAACAATACCTATCATTCAAAGTCATGCAATAAAATTTTACACTAGATATGTGCAACCGTTATAAAAAAAAAACAATATCGTGCGATAAGCATATCGATTATCACGCAATAGAACATCTAATAGACGTGGTCTATTTGTAACGCGATTAACAAAATGACAGAGCAACTTTCTATAGATTCGGTCTAAATTCTACCGAAAGCGTTTCTTACGTGTTATTTACTATTTGTCATTTACATTTACATTTCTATTCTCGGTATTTCAAGAGTGGGCTAATTATATCAGATGTTAAAAAAAAGTTATTAGATATTAAGAAATGCACCTGATCTACATACATACTTTACACTCGGTATATTTCACATTAAAATAACAGCTACTAGAAGTCTTCTGAAGATTGAAAGATCTCTACATCAGTTTTTATCGCAAGCTCATTCTGAACATTGTGTATATTAATTCTTCAATATAAAAAATTGTTTCGCTGATAGTGCCCACATAATATACACGTTAAAACGGAATGTTAATATAATGAGATAAATTTGTCTAGGTATTTGCATAGGTATATGAGAAATTTCTAGAGTCGACGATACGGCGTGAAAGTTGTAATCGGTCTAATCGGCGAATTGATAAAATGTTACATGAGGGAAAACATTCATATACATATATACACATATGTATGTATGTATAATACATATGTCCATCGTCCCATTATACTTACTTATACCATACATATGTCCACAAATTCGCTTCGCATTTTTTTCACGTTTGTCAAACGACATAATTTGCCACGGATAGCGTCTTTTCTATTTCTCGTTTCTGATTGCGTAACGCAATATCGATTATTCGGCATATACCGCAGATCAGGTAATAATTAATTATAAACGCGTGATCAATGATCGATCTGCCAAGTGACAGAGTCACTCACCTTTCAATCGCACTGTATTACACGGTTGACGATTGTTCGTTTCATTAGTATTAAGAAACAATATAAATACACACACACACACACACACAATTTATACTCTATCGTGGAAAATCTACTTGTGTAGAAATCAATGGAAAAATTTCACCGTATTATCGTTGTAAATTGCATGAAACACAAGACACGAAAAACAAATAAAAACGAGCATATCTTATCAATAAAGATACCGGTTTATATAAAATAAAAATTCGCATTTTTAGGAATCTCGTCTTTCCGCCTGTTTTTCTTGCTTAATTGCTCCCCTTAAAAAAACTATATGCGCCGTTATACCTCATGGATAAATAGCGCGTGCTCATAGCGAATACGATTATGTGCATTCACGGGTAACGGTTGAGAACGGTTGATGAAACGATTCGAGTTGGTGTAGCCATTACCAATTTGGACAGCTAAAAGGTTAATCGATACACCGATTACAACGGGTTGATGACGACAAACGGGCGTGCACTTGCAACAGGTAGATTATTTCCATTCGCTTCGTTGCAACAGGTGCGTTAGTCAATGGCTAGTCACCAGTCGATAACCATTAAATTTACCATATTATAGCGTACGTAAAATGCATATAGGTGATGTATAGCATTTTCGAAATACCTGCACCGCGATAATTCATCTTGTTGTAAGTAGTAAGTCAACTTGGCTCACTTATTGCACGGTCAATGCAATTTTAATAATTATTTATTTATTCGCACGTCCATGTCTCGTTTTGAACGTTAATACAAGTTCGATTGAACAAATATACATATATTATATGGAACGATTATATAAAGCCATGCGCTCGTATTAATGCAAATGTGCCAGTGCGGATGGGTACGAATCATCAACTATTTTAATGCGACCAGTTCTGCATGCGAATTTTCAAATAGTTTTGCCTTTTATCTCGTCATATCAGAGAATTTAATATTTATCGTTAAACAAAGAAACTTTCATCGCGACCAGCGATCCTTTGAATGGCGCGCGCGCGCACGTGTGTGTGTGTGTGTGTGTGTGTGTGTGTGGTGTGTGCAATGACTATCAGCCCGTTAAATGTCACGCCCTAATTTTGTAATAATATCAAATATACACGATACAATGCATTTCACTCTACGTAACAATTAGTTTGCGCATTATCTTGTAGGATGGTTTGTGTGACATTTTTATGATGACAAAATTGAAACTAAAATGAATTGTAAGCAAAACTGAATTTGCATTGAGGATGTTACAAAAATTCTTCATCGTTCCAATAATAATTGTCGTATATTATTGATCGATGTTGTCCGATCACGGTTATATATTAATTTCTGAGTATATAATAATAATTTGTTTATTTTGCATTTTTAACACAAAAAATTGATAATTTAGTTTACGGTGCTTTTATATCTTTGTATCGTCTAAATATGAATGAGAAAACTCCTATCATCGGCTCCTATATCACGCTATCGAAAAATCCACAGTTAAATTATATAGCGACAGTCGAAAAACAGCGCCAGTATGCAATTTTTGCTTTTCCTCATAATCACGCATCTCTAAATACGCTTACACGTGCATACGATCTTCAAGTCACATATAAGAACACGTAGGGAGACGGCAGTCAAGCGTTTTGTGTGTGTGTGTGTGTGTGTGTGTGTAAAACAAAGTCGGCTATTTTCTCCGCGTAACTTTCCCACACTTTCCATGCTTTGCTCTTGCGATGCTTCAAGACACGTTCGTGCCTGGCCGCTTAGCGCCATTTCTCTTGGATAGTCAATAATTCTCTCGATCGGACAAGCGACCTATAAAATTTCAACTTGGGGAAAGCAGAACTGGAAAACTAAAATTGGAAAACGACGATATTTTTTAGTATTAACGTTATTTCGATCGTATATAATTACAAATGTAAATTAATTATTAAACATTAAGTATAGTTTTTAAAGTTTATATTTTTTAGTTTTTATAGAACTATATCTTAAAAGATTTATGTTTTATTTATGTGTACAGATATAAATGAGATATTACATTAGATACACATATTAGAATATTTTAGAACATAGCTTAATTAATCTTTTTAAAGTCTGTAGTGAAAGCGATTTGCGATACTTTGAAAATGATGTCGTTGGGAAAAGAAACATATGAAAAGCCTTTCGTAAGAACGAAATGCGTCACGAAAAAGCGCGCAGACATTTAGATTTCCATGCATGCTCATTCTGTGTGTGTCACTGATTTATCGCGCATCCATCTCGTGAAATCTCGAAATGACTACTTTATATTTGTTGTAAAATATCTGTGGAAAGATGGCAATCGTTTAGATAACCAGTGACAAACGTGCCACGACCAGTGGAGATAAACAAGCATTTGCGAATTGGCAGAAAATCTTATTTTTGTAAAAAATGCTTGAACGTTATATAATCGAACGAATATTTTATTTACGTACATATGTATTGTATGTATATATGTACGATTGTAATACAAACATTTAAAAGACATTTTGGAGATGTATTTTTAAATTTTTGCATTATGATTACTCTTGATACAAAAATCGTTTTTTAACTTTTTTAACTTTATTGAACTCTATCGGCTGAAATTTATCGTCCTACGACAAGGTCTTTGACAATGTCACATGTGCCGATATCAAATCTACATCGATTGTAAGTTATTCTTATTTAAAAACTTTATTCGTAAACTTATATATCCGTGTTTACCAGCACGATTCTTGCGAGATGTTAAATCTACTAATTTTTAATTTTTAACGAATTTATTTGGGTTTCAGTAACGTTTCGGTCATTCGAATATGAACGGCGTGCGTGTACGGGTATACAAATTCCGTGCCCGGAATTCGCTTTAGAGTGTCAATAAAAACAAATTTGTACGCACATATATATATATAGACATCGACTAACTACATCTTTTAGTTCCGTTTGCACCTATCTCTTTTTATTTCTTTCTAACTATCAAGATATGCATCGCGTTCGATCATAAAGTTTTGATTGCAAATATGCTACAATTGCACAAACATGTCAGTGATCCTAGCAATGAGAAAGAAGCAATAAGAATGTAAAGTACCTCGTCGGACTCGTAGGTCTGCAACAGATGAGTCGAGGCCATTAATCCTCTAATTGACCCGAGCATTCTCCTCTTAATCAGACCACTTTTTCCACCATGGTCTCTCGACGCTTCAGCATCACCGCTGGTCCCCGCCGTCACTGCCGACGCCGCCGTCATCGTCGTCGTTGTCGTTGTCGTTGTCGTCGTTGTTGTCGTTGTCGTCTTCATCTCGTTGTTCTCAGTCATATGTGAGCATAGTTTCTCCATGCTAAAAGACCCCGGCAGTAATCTCGTCCTGTTATTCTCCAAAATGTCATCCGAACTTGCCGTCTTTCTTCGCAGGTTACCATGTAATTTTTTCGTGCCATTTGATGTTGTATTTTCCGAATCGGGCAATGCTGATATTGGTCTCTCCATATCGTCGGAAACATTTGCCTCCTCCGACACCGACGATAGACCAAACTCTTCTACTCTGGTGATCGAGCCAGTCTTCTGAGTGTGAGCTCGCGTCAGATCATAGAAACCACGCTGCTTGCTCTTAGATGTTCGCGCGGGAGTGGTACAATTGCTTCGCACCTTGATGCGAAAATTTTAAAAGATAAAAAAATCGATCGAAATAAAATTTAAAAAATTGACGTAAGCCAAAAATTCAATGCACGCTTTTGCGTGCATTTTAGTCGCGAGAATTTACTTATTCGCTTCAAATATTATTATACAATGCATATTTGAAATATTAATAAATAATCAATAAATATTAATAATCAGAGAGAGAAATCTTGGTAAGAAAATCTTGGAAACTTATATCGAGTTATTTAACTTAAAGTTTATTACATTGGCACTTGTTATGATCCATCATGCATCATTGTAGGATGTTCGGAAAAGTGTATAAAGAAATAATTGGAACAAGAGCAAAAAAGCTCATAATGTATAACCAAGTCAAACTCAAAACGCAATGAACCATATAAATTGTCAATTTTGCGCTTTTTAACCGCAAGTTTTACGCTCTGAATTTTTTATGTCGAGTAATTTTCCATTATTTAAAATTGACTTGAATTTAAACAACTTGGATAAACACATAGTGGATTCTAAATTTTAATGTTATCTTTGAGAATCAGATAACAAATGGATTGGAAATTAAAATTTATATACATTCTCGAATAACCGCGTTTCTGTGTTATCAATCTGCCTTTCGATCGACTTTAACTAATTCTATAGTCGTGCCAAGATTTCTTTTCTTTCCTTTTTTTCCGCACTACCTCGGGACTGAGCGCGCCGACCGCTTGCAACTTGGCATGCCTGTTGACCACTTGGCCGATCCTAGTCTTCTCCTCTCGTAGCCAGCTACGCATCCTGCCCCAAGCCTTGCCCAGTCGTCGCTTTTGCAGCCTCATCCGCTTGCTGCTGCTGCGGCTCGAACCGCTCTCCGACAACGCCGCTTCCTCGTTCGGACACTCCGGGTCTGAGTACGAACCCGACATCGACGCTATGCCAGCGTCGTAACCGTCGCTGTCCGATGCGCCGTAGCTTCTTCTACCAGATTTAAGCGATCTGGTGGAACGTTTCATTCGGCGGTCGTGTTGTTGGTTCCTCTTCTCCAGCAAAACAGTCATGTTCACAGCCTTGCAATTTTCCTGTTCAAGACTAGAAATTGGCACTTCTTCTCGCAAATTGTTCGAAGACACGTCCTTGCACATTGATTTCGGCACATCGTAAAGATCCTGACGATCCATCAGTAATGAGGAGGCTTCGCCTGATTTATTTACTTCCTTATCACGACTGGCTCGTTCTAAGGAAGCTCGACTACTTTGAATTTCCAGAATGGCGCTCTTAGGAAGGTCGTACAGTTGATTTCCTGAAAAATCAGCTTGATCGCTCGTGTCAACTTCCAGAATAACGATCTCATCGGCGTCGTTCTCGTGAAAATTCTCATCGGTGCGCAAAAAACTGAAACTGATAGTCGGCACTCCATCGGCGTCCGTCTTTACCGTCGTGGTAGCATTCAATTCCATCGTAGTACTGCATCTTTTGCCATTCTGAGTTCTCTCGTTTATGTGAGACTCGGGATTTTGCACTTCGAGGCCACAAGGCCTAACGTCCGCGCGGACTTGACTCATTGTCAATCTACTCATGACAGCCTCCGCGTTGTTCTGCGACGCCTTGTCGATGCTGTTGGGAGACAACGAGAATCCTCCAACAAAAGAGCTCGACGTTGCGGTCGGTGTTGTGCCTATCTCCGAATGCTCCTGCACGTTCGTATTTCTCTCGAAGGAGGATCTGGCCGTCGTATTTTTCTCTGCAACAAACCTTATTTCCTGTATTTCCTCATTCTCGCTGTAGGATCTTTTACAGTGACTCGCTTCATCATTCTTGATGACGTCGCGTTCCGCTTCCTCGCGGAATTCACGACAATGCACGATAATCGGTGTCGGGACGTCATACCACGTTGCCGTCGCGACACTCGCAACGCCGCTACTCAAGATCGAACTACTCTTCGCGGGAGTCCTCAGAGCTGTCAAAACGTGTCGCACCTCGTTCATCTCCCCTATATTATATATAGCTACAACTTTTCCTAGCTTTCTCGTGACGCGACGTTCGCCTCTTCGACTGCAGCCTTCCTCAAATTGGTTTTCGGATTCTCCTTGCTGTTGCTGAAGGATTGAATGATAAACGAATCACAGACTAAGTGGCGAACAAGTAAAACCAGATGTACATATTTCGGAAATGTTCTGCTTATCGCATTATCGTAATTCTCTTTAGTACTTTTTTAGAACATATCTTCACCGTAACTAATTGTAAGTAGCATCTAATTCGCTTCCTTCTTACTTCGAGCGAAGGAAAAGATCTTTTGACTTTCGATGGTAATTTCCATTAATCCGTCGGAAGAAGCAATGGATCATTTACTTTGTCTCTGCGTCTCTGACGTAAGAAAATCAAGAATCAATACCGTGACGCTGCATCTCGTTGGTGAAAGATTCTTCGAACTTTTCTTCGTATGAAAATAGTCGTGTAATAGTCTGGTTACGATTTCGGATGATACTTTTATGGCATTCTATTTTACAAACGTTATTTTGCAAACATCTTCTTTTATACGCACAAACCTGTATATCACACAAATTCCTTCAATGCATGTATTCCATGTTGTATTTATCGCACAAAAACCTTGCGCTTTCATTTCGCGTGAGGTTCGCGTACTTTGTTATAACTTTTCTGCATTTCCCAAGTTTTATTTATCGTAGAAAAAAAAAATATATATATATATGTATAACGTATATATATAGTATACACTCACTCCCAAAAAAGCGGTACATTAAAAATTTAGAAAAAATTTATCAAATTTTCAAATTATCGTAATTTGATAAATAATAAAGATAAATATATAAATAAAAATGCAAAATAAAGCTTCAAATATCCACTTTAAGAATATTTGGATGGCAATTATGCTCGGCCATTTTTTTCAATACGGCGAATGACAGATAAAATGCAAAATTGATAATGTCCAAGCAAAATATCCAAACTTGCGACGATGCATGGCGTGAATCAGATGTTGCACCCCAAAATTGGGACAAAATACATATGAAAGTATTATCTTCAAAATGCTTTTTGGCCGATTTCAATGCAATCATTTTTCGCTGAGTTATACAAATTTGAAAAAAAAACGTGTTTTTTAATTAAATTTGGAATAACAGCGAAAAATGATCGCATCGAGCTCGGTAAAGAAGCATTTTAAAGATATAACAGTTTGACTAGAATTGAATCCCATTGCATGTGTGTTTGCATATCACAAGGATAAGGACCTCGTTCTCCATAATATTTTACCAACTACTATGAAGACTTACCCCAAACCCTCCTTGTAATACGCAACACATACACACACACATACACACACACACACACACACACACACTACAATTGCACAAGGAGGATTTGCAAATGTACATTTTATACCATTTTGCTACGACACCTGATTCACGCCATGTACCTATCATCGCAAGCTCGGACCTTTGATTATTAATTTTACATCTTCCCATTTTATCCGCTATATTGAAAAAAATGATCGAGCATGATTATTATTCAAATATTCTTTAAGATATTGGATATTTGAAGCTTCATTTTGCATTTTTATTCATATTTTTATCTTCATATTTTTATTTATCATAAGTTATGATTATTTGAAATTTGATAAATTTTTCCTAAATTTATAGTGTACTGCTTTTTTTAGGAGTGAGTGTAATAAATTTTTTGGTGACAATTGAATATTTTTATATTCGAAATTTCTCGTTTATATGAAGAAAAAATATAATCAAGCCATGAAATTTTGTGCACCGTGTTTCAAGTATATTTGTTATAATTTTCTACATTCACACTGCTTATATCATGAAGATATCTCTTATAAACTTGGCTGACAACAAAAATACTGGCGAAGCCTTAAATTTCTCTGCCGAATTCTACAGCTAATTCTATAGCTAAAAGAAATTCCGTCGGCTATACAATCGTGAACTTTTGTTTGTAATCGCGTCAATCGTTAGACATCAACTTTTATACAACTTGGTTCCACGATTAACAGGAAGTACTGCACTGTACGATGCGTGATGCGAAAAAAAAAGAATCGCAACGGTATCATGGCGATAATAACGCAACGCCTTGAAGTCGTCGATTTCTCGCGCGAATCAAACATCGATACGATGAAAAAAAAGTGGCGTCGAGTAAATTTATGGGAAATGTAATTTTACGTTATTCATCTCCTCGCTTTACCAAATTTCGAATCATCGACTTGACGCGTAATCGCATATGTGGCTCATGCGACTCACGTGGAAGCACGACGACCATAACGCGATGCGGCGATCGCGATGTCGTGAGTGATCAAGTTGAAGAACGGCATCGCACGCGTTTGCTCGCTCGTCCGAAAATTATATATGTATAAGCACGCGCGTACACGTTCACAAGTGTATGTACATACGCATATACGAACGTTTTTATTTGAGCACAACGTCGAGTATGCTGATGAGCACGGAAGAGCGAATGGATGACGGTACGATCACCAATGATCACGCGCACGCGAGTCTTCACGAATCCAAACGAATGATACCACGATACCTGATGCACGATACCACGACACCACGACGCCACGACGCCACACTGTCACGTCGTCGCATCGTTGTCGGTATTACGTATTACGTAATTACGCCGAACTGTATGACGTACGTATACGGACGAGTCTAACGGGTGCGAGAACGGTGCCAGCACCAATTTTATTTGAATATAGTTATTTAGCCGTTGTTTGTTTTTTCTTTTGTTGCTTCACGCCCTCGTTGTGTATCGGCGTCCCGTCGCGCACTGGATAGTGGTTAGCGCGCGAAAGCCGGATTGGCCGGATCGAAACTGAAGCTGCAGAAGATCGGTCAATTTTGCATAGTAAGCAAAAAGTGACCGTCTAAAGCAAGGACGCGACGCGTCACGTTCGACGACATCATATATGTAATATACAGAAAGACCAATATCGTCGTTCCCAAAGAATAGAGATTCGAAGCGTTTGTACACGCGCACACGATACGCGCGCGTGTGTTGGAAAATCCAAATGCAAAATTTAAATAAATTGAATGTTCCAATTTAATTGTAAAAAGACCAGCTTTCTTGAATATAAGAGTCAATCGCAATAATAATTATATACTCTTCGCTCCAATGATTTGACCGAAAGTAATTTTCTGAAACGTACTCGTTGTCGTTAATAATCACGAATGATTTTTATATGATTGTCGTATTTTCGCGGATCTACGAAATCGATCGGTCTTGGAACAGTATCAAACGCGACTGCGGAATATCACGGGATTTTTCGCCACGTTCGTATCGAAGCGACGCGACGTGACGCTCCGCGGCGATGACTGTCGGAGCCGTCGCGTCGGAGGCCGCCTGGAAGCTACGTTATACAACCGCGAACAATTATGTCCGTATTATACCGCGTGTATACGCACACCATTTGTCGCACAATCGTGCCCACCGTCGCGTCGCGTCGCAACTCGCTCCGCGAGCTCCGCGCAAAACAGAGCGGACATAAGGCTTCATTTTATCCCAAGAATCGTCCATCCGATCTAGAAAATTAGCTAACTAACATTTCGTCCCTCCTTTCATCTCCCTTCTACCTACCGACATGCGCGATATTATTATGCGCCGGAACAAAACGATCGTTTATTGAAAACCTTGTCCTGTATTGATCGTAATTTTCGTAATACTAAATTTGTTTAGCCGCACTAATTCACACTTTTTGTTTACCTATACATATTATATTTCATTCCCTTGTCTCTTCGTGGCAACCAAAGAAAAATAATCATTTGGAGGACATATTACACATCTTTTTCCTTCTTTTTTTTATAGTTTCTTATGTACTTCCTGATACTTTACGAAATATACTACTTTTGTTATGTCTAAATTTCTCATATGAGATAGCAGAAATTTTTATAGTTCTTTAACACAAAAACTCTTACACGATACGATCACTTTGTATTCCGCTCTACAAAGTTGTAAAAATTGAGGTCACACCGGTATTCTTACACTATTGCTCGAATAAGCAACACGGTTATCACGAAACTAATAACTTTACAGACCAAAGCTAATTCCTCGCAAAATTGTCATTTTAATTTTTAAGTGCCGCATAATTTCAATTATGCGGCATAATCTTAACATTTAACAGCGTTAAAAACAATATATATCAATAATGATAAATACACTTGTGTGTATTGCATAATAAAGACAGAAATAAAAGATACGATGTAATATGGCAGGATTTGGTGTATGTATGTAATATTAGACTAAATAAATATAAAACTGAGAGAAAGAGAGAGAGAGAGAGAGAGCGCGCGGGCGATACAAGCTATATAATACAGTTTGGCATACATTATCAAGACCACATTTTCTAAATAAAATAAGCTAAATTCAATCTTTAACACGAGTTATCATTCTATATAACCTATGCTCTATATTGTATATAGAGATTTAATTAATCTTTCGCTTTTAATAAATTTCACCTTCACGTACGATTAAAAAGTGTCAAGATTTGTCACTGACAATGAGATAAATTTTGGACATCTATGATTTAGTATCGTCGATTGTCTTCGTCGTGAAAATTCGATATTAGAAAACACGAAAGCGACACACGCGAAAAGCTTCGCTATAGCTTTCTTCGACAAATAACACATATGCAAAGTAGTACGGAATAACATTGTGTACTTTAAAGTCCAAACATTATAAAGAAGAATTAAAGTTTTGTTTCGTTATATATTTCTCCCGTATATAAGATACCTGAACTCTCTTCTACGCCTCTCGATCACTACAGTGATTACGGGCAAAACGTAAAATTTTTCAAATTAACGTGATAACACTATCGTAATCGAAATACATTGTCGTTGATGCACATTTGTAGATGCACATAAACCGAGCGCGCGTAATCGAAGGCGCGTGCTGCTCATACTATGCGCGTAAAACGCGCATACGTGCACGAACGTTGCACCGAAGTCACTGCAACGAACGGTCGCGGACCGCTTGTCCCGCTTGCGGGAACGAGTGCGGAAATGCGCAAAGTCTCCACACGGAGAGAAAAGGAGGGGAAGGAGAAAGAGAGAGAGAGAGAGAGAGAGAGAGAGAGAACTGGTATGTGCACCGGCGTAACCCTAAAACGAATGGCGAGCAGTGGATAGTTTTAAGGCGACTAAACGTGTTCTAGGCGGGGGATTACGCAGTTTGTATGCGTGTTTTCTGATCTGCGGATTATATTTAGCCTGCCACTCCTTAGTCACTCCGGTATCTCTTGCCTCTCCGCTCTCGCTTGCCGGCTCGTTCGCCCGTGTCATAACGAGAGTCGCATGTGCATCATACTTCGCACCGAATCCTCGTATGTATACCTATGTATGTATGTATGTACATACGTATGTACATATTGTAAATATCATGATATACATGTATACTTAAACCGATTCAGAGCGGGGAAAGTAAGAAGGAGGGGGGGG